AGAGATTTATGAAAATCTTCCTGACGGTCACACTGATAGGAGATGCCAAAGCTACTCCATATGACTAGCAGTAGACACTGTTCTCGTACTCAGATGCTAAAAGCGACAAAACATATAATGGAAGGGCGCGTGTAAATTTTATGTGAATATTTTCCCACAGTCAAGTCGGCTGTTGCTATCAGGTAATGGGGGAAGACAAGAGAAACAATACCAGTAGGATAGGGCAGAAACTATACACGAACGAAGACTTTCAGAGCGTAAACATTGATGCAAGAGTAGTGCAAAATAATGACACCACGAAAAAAAAAACAAATTTCAAATGAATATACCAGACTCTTCAACTGTGTATAGACTGCGCCATTCCACGCGGTGTTTCAGGTCGTCCTTCGGCGCATAAACGTAAGTATTCAAATTAAGTTCTTGCATGGTATGGAACAGTCGCTTGCGCTGCTCCGTTGTCCATGGCCGGCCGTAGAAGCCTAGAAACAAAAATCTGAAGTCTAAACCCGCCGCCAGCTGATCAAACATTGATCCTACCTTCAATCACGCCGGAAATCCATCTCTCGGCCATAGCGATGTAGCTGAATTTAACTGCCTGTAAAGAGAACCAATGAGACGGAAGTATCATATTTTCGCTCTGAAACGGTCGGTTGGATGTGAAGTGTTCCGACAGTAAATGGTGGGATTCAATATTTACGACAATAGAATAAAGTCTGAAACACACAATCGATTCTGCTTTTTATGAGGTTCAAGATGTTGTACATACTTTGTTTTCTCCAGCAAAACCGGTATTACTCATATTTCCGCGTATTTAACCTTCTGGTCATGAAAAAGTCCCATTTCCATTGATTCATTCATAACGTCATTTCAGCTCAGAAAATATTCTCAGCGATAAATCTGTCATCATTCCCAATTCAGAGATAGACTACTACACATGTGAACTATAAGAGTTCCTATTTTCATTTGAATTGCAGTAAATATTCTTCCGTTTTCAGATCTACATTGAAAATATAAAGATATTTGCATTCCTCAGATTACAATTTTCTTATTAGCTGAGTCAGGTTGAATCATACCTTTCTGAATGTTAACACTGTCATTCGAACTTTTCCTTTGCTTACTGTCACACACTACTATGAAGGTACTTTGATAGAACTATCATCACTAATAATTCTTTTAACCTCAATATGAAGAGTGATCCCTCTCTTTTGTTCAGCCCATTTACCGACCATCCATCGCCTGAATAAGTTCTTCTTCAGGACATAACAAAATCCACCTATTTCTCAGTAACATCCCTCTATTTCATTAGGCGAAGGTACGTCTCATTAAACTTCTTTGGTTCCCATAATTACTGAGATGGTAGCCATCCGCTTTGACCTTTGTATTCCATTTAGTATCACCTGTTACAAAGTAGATATTATGGTAAAATTGTAAAACAAAGTTTTTAGAGAATAATCTTAACCTTGACGCCCTTGACAGCGTTTCCGTCAAATCCTGTAGTGATTATATCCATCCCCTTGACAGAAAGCCCTACGGTATAAAAAAATTTCTCATTTTCCGGTAAACGCAGCCTCACCGACTGATCGTGATGTTTAACGACAAGCTTTCATGGCTACGCTACTAACTGAAGAAAAGACAGTAAATTTTTTACTTTGACGTAAATGTTACCACGTTTCATCTTTACAAATAGACGCAAAATCTATCCCTATACCGCTGAGCAACTTTGTAGTGAGAGCTTAACATTTTTCCCAAACAGCTTTGTCAAAATGCTTTTTGCAGTTTTCTAATAAAAACTGAAAAGCACGGTACGTTACTTAGCAGTTACCAGAAACAAATGGAACGAATACATACACAACAAAATATCATCTCTGTGATCTATACAAAATTTCATTTTGCTTTACAATTGTTCATTTTGACCCCGGTAATGAGGCTGTAGTTCTACTTTTATATTTAAGCTGCTACTAGAACAGTTACAAAAAGTGATTTCATCCAAATGAGTAAAGATTAGGATCGCTGCCAACTGTAATGTATGAATCCAACTTGATCATTCACTGTATCGCAGTGACTTCCACAAAATGCTTCTACTTTTCAGTATCTGTTTAAATTATCTTTTTAAAACGTCAAAAGCTTTTAAGATGATTTCAACGGAAAATGAAAATTACAGAACCATCTGATTCATGGATCAAAGGAGCAGGTTAGAAGGACGACTTTATTCACAAACGCATTTCGATGCTACACATCGCTTACCATCACGATTAAAGTGAAATTTAACTGCACGATGTGAAATAAATCCGTTACGTGAGCATCAACAGTCTGGATCCGTCATATTAATCCTCATGATACATTTAAGATGCTATGCAGATTAAATGAGTTCTCACATTCGACTTTGTTGGCAAAGATACCCTGCGATTCTCTGATCAGTAAAAAACCAGAGTTGTTCGGTCGATACAGCGTCAGACTGAGAATCGATTGGTCCCAGGTTCAACGAGCACTGTGTAGGGAAAAAACGAGATCAATCATTACGCTTGCCACACAACTGATGTCGTCTCTACCTTTAAAATAAAATTCCTGCCAAAAGGCATAGAAATGGAGAACAGAGGCGCAACGTGAGCTTCTTGAAATGAAGGATACTAGAAATGACCCTCAATCATGAAAGGATCAAAGTGGCCGAGATTCCATCGGCTACAGGCTTTCCTTTCATTTTTCTTTGCTTTATAGGCATAAAGGGACAGAATGGATGAACACGGTTATTATATACAGCGCAATGATTGTTACAAAAAGTGAAAATCAGAAAAGACAAAAGAAGAGAGTAGATAAAAGAACAGCGGAATAACTGGTACATGATGATTTGAGAAATGCGGAAAAACATTTCAACACAGTTTCGTATTCAATCATCCAAGAACATCCATTTTTGGTCGACAAATGTCACTACTGATGACAAGGTGAGGTAACACATCCGCCCATCAATCAAAGAATCGCTTTACATCTAGGTTAACAAACATTCGAATGAGTAATGAATGTTCCAACTCACTTAATTTGCACTACAGCGAAAATGCCTGCCGCCAAAGTGAAATAATGAAACAACAGATCCCGTCATTCAAATCCTGTCAATGTGCTCTACCTGTGTTCAAACGAGTTGATGAATAAAGGATTTTATATCGTAGCAGTAAACTACATACATGAACAATTAATCAAGAAAAGAAGAGGCATAATTATCATTCAAACAAATAATGAAATGATATTTAATTCCGTATTTAATTTAGTATGAGTATTTGGTTCATGCGTTAGTGGTCATCCTTAAGACAGTTTAAAACATGGTTCACTTACACATAATATAGAACAATTTTGTCAATCGGATGACTGACCAGTACCAACGACGTTTCGGCCAGTGTCTCACAGACCTTTTCCAAGGTAGAGAGATAGGTTGATTTCAGAAATCCCTTACGCCGTTCGCTGCGGTTCTCAAACCCAGAGTCAGAAGGCAGCTTTTGATCAGTGCCGCTGACTAAATAGTTTTCTGGTGACAAGGGCGTCAAGGCTTATCCAACGTGTGCAATGTTTTCGCGGCAAAGGCTTACCTTCTGAATCCGAATGTATGAACAGCTGCGAACGATAAAAAAGACCTCCCAAACCAATTCGCGTCTTTCGCTTTTAAAAGACCTGTGAGACACGAGCTGAAACAATGGTACTGGTAAATCGTTCGATTGATAATATTGTTAGCGCTACATAAAAATAAACCCAGTTTTACGCTGTTTTTATTCATAATTAGCCATAAGACGTTTCAAGCAATAATAAAACAAACTTCGCTTCAGCCAGGATTCATGTTTCATACTTCTGAAGCTTCAGAGGCCGCGACTTTGTTTGCACCTGTAAAATGTGGCTGCGGATTTGCCTACGGGTTTGACGTTTTTTCGTTAATGGATGAACGCAGCCGGAATAAAGCTGAGGCTTCACAGCAAACGAGCAAAAACACCAACTACAACGCAACACCCATTTTTGATATCATTTGCGAACGACGCACCTAAACCAAGGAAAAATCTGTTAAGTTTGAAATCACGTCAATGTACTGACAACAAAATACCTGTGTGACAGCAGAACTTGAACGAAATTCGTCGAATGAACGAATAAATAATGAAGGTAAGATCTGCTATGTGTCTAATCCAGTTATTTCATATTTTTCGACTAAAAATATTAATATTTCGTTTAGATATACATAACATGATTTATACACGTGAAATGTACAGGCAAAACGGATGACATAAAAAACTGAGGTATCATTTCTGCTGTACATAAAATGTATAGTGTAAAAGATGATAGACGACAGTATCTGCAAAATGTGCTAGATACTTAGATATATAGCCTTTTTGTATTACAATATTTAGAAAGCACAGGTTGTTTTGTCATCGTCATCTCAGGCTAACAGAGTTTAAATAGCACAGCAACCCAGAATAATGTCTGGTCGAGAGAAACAGTTCCTGAAACACCTCCGTGACAAGCATGAGATGACTCCAGCGAATAAGTAATTGTCGGTTCTGCCCTTAAAAACATAAGGCACCTCTGGCTGATGGATGACATGGAAATAGACATGAGTGCACCACTATTCAATTCATGAAAACTAGAGTGCTGAAAATGGCCGCATCATGTCAGTGTAAGGAAGACAGACACTTCAACGGTTGCAAACTTTCCTCCCTGCGAATAAAATGGGTGATGCATCGCATATTAGAGATGACCCCATATCATGGAATGGTGACTTACTTAAACTAGAAACAAGGGAATCGTGCAGCAGGTCATAAAAACTAGTTTTAGAGTTTTGAGCCAATGTTACAACACAGACAGATAAACGCCGTCCTGTGGAGTTGCGCATCTTCGTGACTTTGAAACTACCATTGGTTGAAGTAACGAAACTTACTTCTGGCAGGGTTTCCCAAGTTAAAACGAATGAAGGGTAGAAATTAGCATTCCACTTTGAATGTCACTTAGAAGTAGTCATACCGCGATTGATCGAATATTAGGCAGAGTGGCTCGAAAGTACGCAACAGATTCCCTTTGTTTCAAAGCGGCAGCCAGCTGCTCAAATATTTAATTTGATTATCCGTTTGTGGCGACAGATAGGGACAGCGACGAGAATGAAAAAAAAACCTCAGGAAGTACAATGCAGTTGCTGTGGAAGCCTCATGAAGACTACTATTCTGCAACCCAAAAGGAAACATGAGGTATTGAAACAGTGAACGAATAAAATGATATTTTATGAGTGAAAGAGTCAATGCTATTTTCATGGCGTAGAGCCGCTGCTCTTTCTTAGATTTGTTTCTATTTTCTTTCTATGTTCAACAATTGTGAGCATTTATGGCAAATGATTAAGAAAACTGTCATCCCGAGTACAAAACGTTTCTGAAACAGATCCCTTGGTTTACGCGTCTTGACAAGGACCCAAGTTCAGATATCCAAGAAAGCCGTGGTGTCGCCGCTGTTTATCCAGGTTGAGAGGTAGGAGCTAAGATGATATGGACCCATTCCGCAAATGCTTCCAGAAAAAAATGAAACAGCTACTTGTTCCTCAACCCACCGATCAAAGACCGATGGGAAGACCAAGAATGACCTTGGGCAAATGCTTCGACGGATCTTGTTCCAGACTCAATTTACCCTCTCTTGACATTCAGACGTTGATACAATACTGGAAACGTTGGAGACAATATGACGCTCTCACCCCAGCAAAACGAGGGATAAGCGATCATCATATCTGGCTGATTTAACGTTTTTCTCATGCTACTGTTAAGTCAAACTCCAATACTAAATAAACTCAGATGACGTAATATACACTACACAAGGAAACCTCAACCTAATGATCAGAGCTTCAAAATACACCCGACTGAAATTAATGATGCGGTCAGACGACAGTGTTAGTTTCACAAAAAATAGACAAACTTCCCGGATTTCATGAGCCCTCTAAAATAACATTACTATCGAAATCGCTATGCTGGATTAACAAATTATGCTAGTTAATTTGGCAAAGAATAAACTCTATCTAACCCGAACAGCAAAAGACTGCCCGGAAATAAAAAAATTCCTACGAACAACAAATGTTGAGGACCGCACGGCTAGCGGGCCATAAGAAACGATGATGCAATTTATATGGTTCCGATGTCAAAGAAGCTCTGTGAAATACACATCAAAACATGGTAACTCAATAAGAAAGATAATTCATTAGTTCTAAATATAAACCACAGACAAATGTTGAAGTATTTATTAGAGCTGACTTATTTTCAGCCAAATACCTTTGAGCATTCTCAGGACAAACAAACTCCTAAGCGGGAAAAAATTGTTTTAAAATCAAAATTAACAGACTACATGGCAGCAAGCCCAAAAATTAAACATTTAATTAACCTGAAGTGTTCAAAACTTCAGAGGAGCACAGAATACTTTACTTGCCTCGTTACCTAGAAGAGGGAATGCAATGCCAAGCTCAGAATTCCACAAGCAGACGAGAAGTATTAAATAAACTTGGAATCAGTTTACGAGAAAAAACATATTTGGCAGAACTGCAACATACAAATAGAAGACAAAGAATATAACGACAGATTAACCGCGAATTTCCTCCATCATGTGTTCCATTTTAAGCATGAGAACAATAGCAAACGTGCAATACTGGACGCATTAACGTTTAGTGTTACAGCTACGTTATCTTAGTTCCTATCCAATTCAGCAATATTCGATAAGACTGCCATAGAAGGCGCTGAGCAGAGACAAAGCTTTATTAAAAACACAAGTGAAGCATGTCAGATACTGAAACTATCACCGTCGTAACCAAGCGACATGTTCAACCTTTATATAAAAACTCAACGCAGAACTCATTCAAAATACTCTTAATTTGTTTCAGTAACACAGATAAACCCATAAAAGGCGGAAATGTGTTCATTTTGTCAAAAAAGAGCATGAACAGAAAACGCTGCTGAAAACTTAGGTCAAAAAAGTCTTAGAAAGACAGATAAAATAGCAGAGTCGAACCAAGGCAAAATATGGCATGCAACAAAATTCATAACATGTAAAACGAATGAAACGAAATATTTTGACAATCAGCCTAAGAAAACTGGCAGGTGAATAAAAGAAGTATTAGATAAATTTGAAGCACATTCAAACAACTGGACTATATGCATATACAACGCGGTTTGTTTTCTCGCAAGAAAACAATTTAAATATAAAGACAATCAGATATTTCAGCTTACAGTGTCATACCAAGAAAAATAATGGAAAACAATCGACTATCAGGACCACAAAACCGATTTCAAGTCATATCAGTACACCTTCGTCACTTAAAATGGATCAAACCAATTTTGCACCAGCCGACCGCAGAGCTATAGAATAATGATTGATAGGTAACGTCATAATAGGAGACCGGTGATTAGGTTAGAAGTTCAAAGATAATGTTTTGTACTGAATTGCAGATACGAATGGCAACTCACCAGCTTAACTATTATTTTACATATATTTTTTATTCCAGTCAAACCCGTAATGAAGTTTAGAAGTGAATACGTTCTATTACTAATAGAATTTTATTCTTTTCTCGCATTTACATGTGACTAAGTGATTCAGTTCAACAACGTCAGAAAATTAGGTATGAAGCTGTAAAGACCGTACACAATTTCAGAGCGCTAGCATCATTCTAATCAAACAATGTTACAGCCATAATCCACACTTTGACTCTCACTTCAATTTTTTATTTATGCAACCGTTTTAGAAAACATTGCACTGTACTGCTATTCAAAGCT